TATGTTTTACAGTTGAATCAACAGCCATATGGTTTGCAACAAATGGACGGTTGCTTATTCAATGTATGTCTTAGAAAGTATCATGAAAAACACTTGTAAGCAGAGGGGGAAAAAAAGAAGCAATGTTGCACCAAAACCAGCAGATGAGACAGCTCACCAAACCATCAGGGATTTTTTAATTCGAACCTTCACACTGGACCTCAGGAAACTCTGTGCCTCTAAGCTTACCCAGATTCAAGAAACCTAATTTTCAAACAAAATTGTACTTTCTTTACATAAATTAGACTAAACCACTACACAACAATCTAATGTACTCTTTAGGTTATACAAGATGCTGCTAAGTTACCTACCATTTAAGTGTGGTTTAACACAAGGGAAGCAACAGTTGCAGGCTGTGTTTATGCGGTCGCTCTGCTGGAACTCTTGAACCCTGTGAACTTCCCCCCAAACACAGACTCGTCTAAAGGACTGTTCATCCATGTTACTAGTCCATTCTTTTCAGTTTTGCATTCACTTAGTAAATGATTCTGTGAAAGAGTTTATTTTTCAGGATATCCTCCATAGCCTTCATGAACTACCTCCCATGTATTTTATTTCTGTTCATTGTAATATTTAATATATCAGTTACAATTAGGTTTTTTTGTTTGGTCATCATACACGTCTATCAGATAATTATTGAGATGAGACGGGCGGGGGATGCCCGAATGAGGTATTCATTATCCGTTTTTCCTTATCGGCACAAGTTCAGTCAGAAATTTCTCACAACCTTTAATTTATATATAATCTGTTTTGAGGTTAACTGGATAAGTTTAAAAAAAACGCAAGAAAATATCAAAATAACCCAGTTTTTCTATAGACATCTCTAATGTCTGCAAGTATTACATTATACTATAATACTAAATGTTATAGCATTATTGTTTGTGCTATGTTCTTACCTTTGCTGTTGGACCACATATATTTGCCAGTGTAGGGTTTGTGATCTCAAATTAAGAGCTTTGTGTACTCACAGTGAATTACTGAATACCTTCATACATGAACAAAATAGAAAAATAACCTTTTATTTGCCCACCCCCCACGGCACCAGAGAAAACAGTAGACACAAAAAAAGTAAATTTTCTATTTATTTTATTTTCTTTTAAGTGCTTCAATTTGTGAAACAGCAGATTTCAAAGCATGACATAAAACGTCTAACCTTTGGCAAAGTTCTAACAGAAGAGACAGAGAACAGACATCCCAAGTTCCAAAAACTAATTTCAGGGAGATGGTTATCCCCACCCAGGGAAAAATGGACCTGCACCGTGCCCCATACATACACACTTAAGGCCAGCAACTTTTCAACAACTGTTTATTAGCTAACAGTAATTTCTTAAACACAAAACAGAACAGTATTGGTCTTTTCTTTTCA